GGGGGGGGGGGGGGGGGGCTTTTTTAAGAAAGTGCATATAATTATCACAAAAAAAAATTAAAAAGAGTTTATAATAAAAAATGGATTTCCCTTAAAAAAAAACTGAAACAAAATTCACAACTCAGATTGTTTAGTAGAACCATTTTCCAAATCTTAAGAACCCACCAAACTTTATGCCCTATATGGTTTTAGAAAATTGCAGAAGAGAAATAAAAATCCAAAGGAACTTCGCACTCCACCATTTGATTTCAGCAACTTAGACAGAAAAAGGGAGAATTTCTAGAACTCACACCCAGAGGTCCCACAAGGAATAGAAGAAGTGTGTCCCCCAAGTGAATGGGTTGCACTAAATGATTTAAGCATACAGAAACAGAAGCTTTTGAAAACCAACCATAGAAGCAGAGCTGGCATGGTGTTTTTCTTTGTGCAAGAAAATATTAATTCTCCTTAGTTTTTCTGTATTTTCTGTTAGTTTGTTATAACTGACCTCAGCTTAGTTATAACACCCAAATGTCATCCACCATGCTGGCTTCTTATATATAGTCTTTTTGTACAAAAGCTCAGCAGCTGCTGTAAACATTACCATTCAGAATAGTATCGAAGAGCATTTTCTTTCTCTCTGTTTCTTTTCTAATACTTTACCATCATCCAACAGCTATCAAGGTTTATGTCAAATGCTTTCAGACTATAAAGCTCAATTGTATTGTAAATGTTTCCATTACTCAGTTCTTTCATAAATGGAAAATGATAACAAAGTAAATATCGGCTATCATTGTGCTATTCTTTTCTCCAATTCCTAACTCATTCCATGAATAGAGAAGTTTTCCATCTTGATAAATTCCTTTGAAAGTCCAAGTTCACTTCTAACATCATCCTTTTATTATGACAGCATTTCTTAATACGGCTAATATTAATGAAAATTTAAAGGTTTGTGAGCTGCATAAGGCTTTTCTCCTGCTATGTGGGTTATGTGAGGAACTTGTTCGGAATCAGTTCCTCGTCTATTCTTAGACTGTTCTGCTGCAGTTTCTCTATGGAATTCTTTGTTCAGTACTGGTTTTTTGGTGTGCACCACAGGTTTCCCTCAGCCATGGACCGAAAAATAATTCCTTGAGGCAGAAAGATCCCGAAGTAGGTACAACCTCACCCAACAATATTTTGGTGAATCCGTTGTTCAGTATTATTTTGTGAATGTTAGGTGTTTTGATAGAAACCATTCCACAGTATTATTTTGTGAATGTTAGGTATTTTGATAGAAACCATTCCTCCAAGTGGAGCAAACCCATTCAAGTCTATAGTCGGAGGCCCAAGAATAAAACCCAATACTGAGTGTTAGTGAGACTGCTGTTAGCTGGGAGGGGTATTTTGGAAATTGCAGATTCTGTTATTAGAAAGTGAGGGTTGGTTATATATTCTCTTTGTAATAATGATGGGACATCTTTTGGAAATTGGTTAGTGATATTGGGAGCAGAGAGATACTCCTCTCTTGCTTGGGAGAGCCTTGCTCTCTGGAAATCTGGTTTCTTTCCTCTCTATTTTGTTATTTTCTATTTCCATTGCAGGTACCTCTGATACATATTGTATCATGTTTCCTAGGTCCTGAGACCAAATTTTTATGGTTAGCAGTTTGGTTCTAGTAGAAAAGAGGCTAAATTTAATGGAAATGGGCAATATATGCTAAATTTGGGCACACAATCAATCAGCTGATTTGGAACAAGGTTAAGCATTCAGCTTTCATTCAATATAAAGCAAATGGTCATTTAGGGGCCTCCCTTTAATGAAAAGAAAAATCGTCAAACTCATTCTAGTTACTTCTTTTATCTTACTGAACTTCTATAAATAAATAAAATAAAATAAAATATCAATTTCATTTCTTTTGTAAAACTACAATTGTATTATCCAACTTTCTTTCCTTTCCTACTAAATAAATTATATAATTTCTACCCTTCATCTTCTCTTCTTTTTCCTACTCTTAAACCTTAATTACAATACTTCCTTCAATTTAGAAATTTTGGCATCCCTGTAGCATAGAGATTTGGATTTCCCAGTTCTCACAATTAGCGGAAGTACATGCCCTGTTTTAACTAAATCATAATACCTAAAAGCAATGTCTAGTTTCATTTCCAAATTCAAATACTATTCTGTTCATTCTTCCAAAAGTGACAAGGTTTTCCTTGAAATTTAATTAAGTAAACCTCAATCTAATATTGACTGTTCACCATCAACACCTTACTCTCAAAATTAAAACTGATCATATGACAAAAATATCCAGCAGCCAGCACAATTGCTTAAGAAATGTCCACTAAACAGTCTTTTAAGCTATAATACCTATATTCAATCATCACACAACCAACATTATGCTTGAAATGGCATCATTTCAGTTTCTGTCAAGTTAAAGGCAGAATATAAATGTACCTTAGTCGATGCCTATTGCAGGCTGTGAAGAAGGCAACAAACCCATAGAGTATGCTCTTGAGAGCACGGAAAATCTGTAAAAGGAAATATAAAAAAAAAATTACCAATCAGGAGTGTTTAATGAAACCAGCGACATCTGAAATACTACTGATACACCATCTTATAACCTGGGAAAAAAGGTCATTCCAAAGAGTTCGCCACATGGAAACTTCAGAGGCACTGACTGCTGCCTCAGAAGACGATGCAAACTGGAGAATGCTACTTACAAACTGCCATGCGTTGCCAAGCACATTAAAAATGCACATACATATGGAAGGCACAAAACTGAATATCGCCAGGACAAGACGCACAGGAGCATATAGTAATTCCCAGATAACCCAAAATAAAGGGTATAATATACAAGTAGCTGCAGTATATTCAAAAAAAAGTAAATGCAGGCAATTAGTAGAATATCATATGACAATTTATGTTGGCAGAAACAAGGATAAATTAAACAAATAACAGACACCACCAGAGAACAAAAACATATGATGACTTACCAATGCTCCAAACAACACTGAGGACAAACCACAATGGTGAAAAGAGAAGCTCCAGTACATTTCCCACTAGATCGAAAGTAGTATCAACCACAAGCCAAATAACAGAAAAGATGCTCTCTGCTAAATCAAACAAAAACTTCAAGCTTGGGAGAAGAAATCCAAAAATCCCCACCAATGACTCTAAAAGAGGTTGAACAAGAACTGAAAAAAAGGATCGCATGGTATGTGTACAGGCAAGAAACCACCTAACAGCCTTCTGGAAGTTGTGTAGAAACAGCATTGTCCCTAAGTATTTGACCCTTGAAACCATCTCCCAAGTTTCAATCCAATCAAGAAGAGGCCCACATATACGAGATGCAGTTGCCTTAAGAACAGGAACATTTTTGTATAAATCATAGAATCCAATGAGGACAGTAACAAATGAGATCAAAAAGTATAAAATTCTTGCAAGTGGGCACATCCAAGGACGATAAAGATTGCACAACACTGGATATGACTGAAGGAAGATGACCCAAGATGGAAGACCAGCCTCCAACAACGTAAGCAATCGCAGATCAGATATTATGACTTCCCTAAATTTAAATGGTAGGTCATGATCATTAAACCTAAATAAAAGTAGAACATCGCTATATTCAGTGGCTTCAACTGTTTCATCAGAAACACAGATAGAGCTCTGAGAATAATCCAATGAGTTATCCATTTCATCTTCTGAGTAGCTATCAACTCCAACACTAAAGGAATTCATTAATTTTCTTCTCTTATTGGGTCCAGAAGGAGGAGGTGTGTGTAGCATGTCTGTTGTCTCTTCTGAATCATCAGAATATACTCCAACATTGGTACCCGAACTATCTTCAACAATCAGACTTCTGCAGACGTTACCATCATCATCATCATCACCAATGGATAAAGTACCAGAAAAATCTTCACTAGCATCATAAAATATTTCCCCTGTTAAAATTGCAGACAAAGAAGCCATGTTCATTGAAAACTCGTGTTGGTTCAGAATTTAAAGAATTACTATAGCCTTTAGCTGCCATAATGTAAAATACAAAACACTCTACAATCAGTGTACGTGTGGAAATTTGATGGTCACAACAAAGCAATGGTTTATAAAAGGAACGAAAAGGATGAAACAGGAATGGAAAGGGTTATAGCTTTAAAAACCAACAAAGTCCATTCAACTCTCACTACATGAATAGGAGGGAGGATAAAATAATGAAATTAAAAGATTTTACATAAAAATTTCACTATTCCATTCCCTCTCCCCCATACACAACACAAAAAGGTATGTTAGGTATGACATGTTAATGAGTGGATCAACATTGCTTAATTTTGAAATTTAGGAAGACCAAATTTGCAATTAAAACTATTGGGAGACCAAAATTTCACATTAACTAAACTATAGGGACCAAAAGTGGATTTAAGCCAAAAGGGGAAAAAGAAAATTGGATGGTTATAGGGTGGATTAAGAGGGAACAAGGTTCCTCATTTCCTTTTATTTTCTAAATTCATAACCCTTCAAACATGAAAATATCTCCGTGCATACACAGGGTCCTATTATCAACAGAAACTAATTGTTAAGTAAATTATATATAGTAATTTTCTATCAGATGTGTGAGTTCATGTGAGATGCATGCATCTCTTCATGCATAAGTATATTTCTATTCTGGCATGAAATACAAATGCTACAGACATCAAGCCTATCCTAAATTCATATGTATTATGCACACTAGGTATGAAAGAAATGATGAGAATCCCTGTTACTACCTGAGGCAGAATCCAGGTGCTCTTTCAAAAGCAGCTGTTCAGAAGTTGTTCCTGAGAACCAGGAAGACATACAGCTTGCAGCTTGAGCTATATTGTCAAATTCCCATCTCTTCATTAGTCTAGCTTCTATAGCCAGTGATGTATCAGTCTGCAAAACAAATGAAAATCTCAATAAACAGTAAACTAAGAAAATAACAAAAAACATGCTAAAGAGATTCAATACCTGAAGCTCATTGTAGTAGTTTATACCACGAACGCTGCTCCACGCAACTTCAAATACAATAAATCCATATAGAGTTCTATGCAATTCACTGCTCAATTGTAGAGAATTCCTTAGGTTTTTCACAGGCAGCAAAACTTTCTTTCTTGATGACATCACTGCTTCAATCAACGAGAACCATCTCATAAATTCCTTTGGTTTACTTAAGCTTGATCGAGGACAAACCTCCTTGCCTTCCTTTCTCTCTCTTCGAGCTTTGGAATATACAAAGGGAGATAACCTTGACTGCAAATACATCAAAATGATTAAAAAAAAACTATTATTCTAAGACAACAACTACTTGAAAATCACTTCAAATAATTGAGTTTACCAACCTTAGTAACCATCAATTGCCAAATGTGTACTCCCCTTGAACCAAGGTCTGTTGTCAACCATGGTCTGTTGTCAACCAAAATATACATTTTTTTACTATCATTTGCGAGGAAAATGCTAAGATCTGCAAAATAAGATTGCAAGTCTCTGCAAAATACACCAAAAAGATTAAATAGATCAGTATGAGAAATACAGAAACACAAAATAAATCTGCTTAACTAGCTTTATTGGTCAACTTAAATACAGAAGATAACACCCAGCTGAGTCAGAAACTGTTTTGGCTAGGCAAATTTTTTTTTTAAAAAGTTCATGGCTTAAATCATTAAGTTACTGTAACTGAAAGGTGAGTGGAAGCAATAAAAGGTGCACATCCAAATTTGCAATAGTCTTCCACCAGATATATCATACATAACATAATTAAAAAGGGACTTGCAAGATAACAATCTACAAGCAGTTAGAATTGAAAATTAAATAACAACCAAAGCCAACAATGTCACTGATCCATTGTATGAGAAACCAGAAAGCGCCCTCAACTCCTCAGTCAACCATAAACCAGAAAAAGTTGGTTCAATTCATAGATTTCCAACTGATTTTTAATCAACGCAGGTAAAAAAAGTAACAGAGTTCAGAACATTACCAGATTTCTTTTAAAAAGAAAAGCATGGTTACCATTTGCAGATATATTGCCAATAAAACAGCATCCACCGACTTAAAACTAAAAATCAAATTTATAAGAAAAAAAAAAAAAGAAATAAGAAGAAGAAAGACTCACAACGCTGCACCAAGTTCATGATCATGAAGTAACCAACAAAATTTAATTTAAGAATACAAAATTTCCACATCTCAAGTTGTTCTCTGAGTCAGAAACACCGATTTATATAAAAGGGGGGGAAAAGAAAAAGAAACGCATCATGCATCACGCATCATGCATCATCAAATAAAATCCAACCCTTTCACCAAATAAGTTCACAAATAAACACATTCAATCGACCATCAATTTAAGAACAGAACCCATTCATTTACCACGTGATAAAAAATCCCACAAACCATCATCAAACATCATTAGAGCTAATCATAAATAAGAAGAAAAAAAAAATGAAAACATACCCAATTTGCAAACTCGTGAGAGGAAAAATGCAGCGTCCATCATCACCTTTCCCCATTAAGATAAACAACACCCTCAAACCCCTTCTTTTTGCCAAAAACTTCTCCAAATTTCCCACTAGCACCTGCTCCAAATTCCCAACCCAGAAACATAAAAACAATCATTCTCCACATGCATTCAAACAATTCCACTTAAAAAAACAAATAAACAAGAGAGAGAGAGGCATAGAAGAGAACCTGAGAAATGGGTGTTCCATGAAATCGAAGAAGTGTGAAAGGCAATGAAACAAGGAGCGTGTAACTTCATAACAAAGAATATAAAAGAGAAAAAGAATAAACCAAAACAGACAGAGAATAAGGGTAAGAGAGTTAAGAGGAGGGAGAAGAGTGCATAAATGCGGGTTTGTACAGAGAGGTTTCGAACCAATTTTCGTGTGAGCGATGATGCTAACTAGTAATTTCAATTCGGTTCATTGAAGAGAGAGAGAGAAAGGAAAAGCAGAGAGAGAAAGTAGTTGAACTCGTCGGGAACACGTTCCTTTTTTTTTCTCTTTTTTTTATTGTGGATGTTTTGTTTGTGAAAGTTAAAAATAGGACGAGGACGAGAAATTATTGCATGTCGTTCGGATACATTTGCGAGTGATCAAAATTAATTGTATGGCAAACAAAATTCATTTTAAGAAAAGCGTGAACTTGATTTTGTGTTTTCGGAGTACGCGTTTGCGATTTGCATAACACGTGTAAAATCAAATCGACGCTTTTCTTAAAGTATGTGTTATGTTTTTGCCTTCGACTTCATTTCACTCATATCGTATAGTACTTAATTTAGTAAATTATTTTTCATTTTTTTATTACCTCATGTATTTATTATAAAACATTTTTAATCAAATCATATTAATTAATATAAGTAGTTGTATTAATTAATTTTATTGAGTTTATAAAATAAAATAATGAATTATCAACATTAATCCTTTTAATTATTATTAAGTTTTATTATCTCATTTAAAGAATTATCGACTAATTTAATAAAAATGATAAATAATAATTAAAGAGTTTTAAAAGTGAGAGAGAGACGGATACTCTCATAATCTTTAACATGATAAAAAATGAAAAGTAAAATTAATGTTTTACAAGAGTATAAAGTGTCTTATAAATTGTAAAGTTTTTTATATGGCCAAAAATTCATTATAAATTACGTCTTATAATAAGGATTGGAGGGAGTAATTTCCTTTTATCATGATATCGATAGAAAGCACTAATGTGAAACACCAACTAATATTTATTTGCAAACACACAAAATAAATATTATCAATATAGTTTTATATCACACACGAAATCAAGATTTGAATCCTGTAAAAGATTATTTTACAATTATATTTGTGAGGTGTTTATATCAATTTTCATTGAAAAATTTAGTGAATCACTTTGAATGGAGTCTTATTTTCCAATTTGTTTTCTTTTATCATTACAAAGATTTGAAACCAAAACCAAAACAAAAATCTTGCTTAAAAAATTTGTACTTGTTTCAGAATGCACTTTCGGCATCCGAAAAATTTCGATCTTGTCCACAGATAGTTTAGACTTTCATTTTAAAATTTTCATTAATTAAAGAATACACGAATACCAGATTAATCCCTAATTAATGATTTTAGAAAAAAGAGTTCGAAGGAGTCATCACCAATGTTTTACCCAAAACATCGAAAAAATTAAAGATTTTCAAAAGTTACCAAAATGGCCTTCATAGCTGGAAATGGGTTCAAAGATTGATTACTGTAGGGAAGGTGTTAAGCACCCTAGAACGTCCTATATTGGTACTCTATGATGAAATTAGCGAGATAGAGAATAAAAATTCACATATTTGGTCCCCTTTATTAATGATTATTTACATACTTAATTTAAAATTACACGATTGATCCTAAGACATCTACATGGTTGCTTTTATTTATGGCAATGTTATGATAGAAATAGTAGATAATGGAGAAAGAATTTAATGGAAATACCTCTTGAACGAGCTTTTATAGAATATGCTTCCAATATGGTATACTTGAGGCACTTTTTGACTATCTTACACACTACAATTTACCTCATAAATCTCAAGGAGCTTAAATTTACCTCACTACTTTTTGACTGCCAAATTTAAAATTAATTCATAACGAACTAGGTCAAAACGGTCCATTCTCGATTGGGAGCGACCCATTTTGACCTAGGGTTTCTAGGCCATTTAGAAGCTTGGAATGGCCCATTCCAGATTAGGAACAGCCCGTTCCGAGATCCTAATTCAAATGTTTGCGCTATCAGGCCTTCTGATGTCATCCTGGTCCATTCTGATGTCAATGGGTCATTCTGATGTCACATTGGTCTGTCTTGGCGTCATATTCAGGCCTTTGGGAACTCCTTTGTCTCGTACTAAAGGCCTATTTCCTTATTTGCATGTCCTAGACGCAATTAGGTGCGCCTACATGCACTAGTAACTTCTCTTACTACGTCCTTTGGTGTAGACACCAGTTTTCATCCTAGATGTAAATCTGAAGACGGGAAGCTTCTAAAGCAAGAGTAGTGACTCACGAAAGACGTTAAAAGACTCCAGAACGCGTCAAGATGGAGCATGAAGCCTCTAGAAGACATTTTGAGGTCAAAAAAACCCAAGAACCAAGCAAAATGGCCTAAGAACAACCGTTCTGACCATGAGAATGGTCGTTCTAAGCATAACAGCTAAGAAAAAGGAGACTTATACCAAATAGTTTTTTTGTTCTGATAATATATCTTGCTACAGACCTAATTTCAACGATCCAACCGTTGAAGTTAAAGATCAATATATTGAGAGGGTATCATCAAAGAACCAGAACGATCCAACGATTAAAGAGTTTTATTGAGGTCCCGTATGGTGCCTAAAAAAGATTGACTTTTATAGATTTAGTCCCACTTCTAAGAAATTCAAAGGATTAAGTCCATCATCGAACAACTCTTTTATGTTTTTGCCTCCTAGATGATATATAAGAAACCCTTTGGCCAAGGGAATAGACACCTCAAGCTGCATAGCTCTCTCTCTCCCACTATTCTCTTTAGATCACTCTGAGTGAAATAAACTCAATGTAATGTTTGATTAAGAGATCTTTGATCCCTTTGGCAGAGATTTCAGAGTTTCTAGTTTAAAATTTGTCCTCGAGTGGTCGAGAGGTTCTTTAAGAGTGAAGAGGCTACCAAAAAGCGCCCCCAAATGGTTTTACAAGAAGATATTAAAGCTTGCTTCAGAGGTTTCAATCTCTTTCCCCTATTTACTGCTTTAATTGTATGCTTA